TTAAAAAGGGTACGTACCTAGATACCTAGGTACCTAAAATTATCCACTTCGCCCACAAAATGTGGGCCTTTGATTAAAAACCTTAGGGGGAAGAAAAAATTTTGAGGCGATAAGCCTAAATCTTTTGAATGCGCCTCGATCCCAAAGATAAACAATCTCACTTCTTTCACATTTCTCATCACACAACAAAAACGCTGGTTCACAGTCAATTTTTCCAGCGCCCACGATCGAGGGAATTTCGGGCAGTTTCGGCTGGCCCTTCTACATCCCTAAGCGACGCCCATTTTTAATTTTGACAAGTCTTGGGTCGTCATCTTCTGTTTCTTCTACCTAATCTGCCGTTACACCGACGGTTCACGATGCCTCACCAAGTTTCGCCGCCGATAATGGTGGCTAAATCTGGCGATGCCCCTCCCCCGCCTTCGCAGCAAGATGTATCCTCAATTCTCAACACCATCTTCACTGCTAAGACTTCCGCCGCTTCAATCGACGCCTGCTATGGCCTTTGCGAACTCTTACTCAACACCGTCGGCTTCCGTGGCCTGCATGAGTACGGTATTCTGACCGAACTTAAAAAAGCCGCCTCTGACAAGAAGAGTGGCTTGCGACGAGAGAGTGCCCAGAACCTTTTGAGCGCCCTCTTCGAGAAATTTCCACCCCGACAGCCCTTGAGCGAAGTCGTTTTCCTGCTTCAAGATGGCGGTCTGATCCCATGCGCATTAGATGCTCTAGCCGACAAGGGCACAGTGGTTCGCGATGCTGCGCAATACGGAATTGATGCGCTCTTCGGTTATCTAAGCCCCGAGGCTATGGTCGTCGGCTTGTTGCCGGCTCTCCTCACGTACCTATCGAAGAAGACTGGGAAATGGCAGGGCACCGTTGGTGCCTTAAAGTTGATGCAACGGATGGCCGATAAGGCAAAGATGGAAATCGGTTGCACGAAAGAGCAGGCCCAGGAGAAAGATATCCTTAGAGAAGCAATGGGCGCAAAGCTTGCCAGCTTAATCCCCATTGTCGAAGGCAATATGCATGATCTCAAGTCTGAGGTTGAGAAGCAGGCACTCATTACCATGCAATCCCTCACGACTTTACTATCAAACGACGATGTCGCTCCCAGGATCCCCCTCCTTGTCGACACCATGCATCACCCCTCTACTCAGACACTTCAGAAGGCAATCCACGCTCTTTCGCAGACAACCTTCGTTGCCGAAGTGACTTCTCCTGTCCTCGCCCTTCTCACTCCTTTCCTTGAGCGAACCCTCAACAATCCTACCACTGCTCAGGAGGTACTACGACAGACTGTCGTAATTACCGAGAATTTGACCAAGTTGGTCCATGACCCTATCGAGGCCCGTACATTTCTGCCTAAACTTCAGCCAGGTGTCAAGAGCGTTGTCAACCGCGCACCCCTACCAGAGGTGCGCGAATTAGCAACGAGGGCCTTGGATGTTATGGATAAGGCTATGGGCAATGATAAGGTAGTAGAGAGGACTTCTTCAGACGATGTCACCAAAGTTCTTGATGCCGCGATCAAGAAGAACGGAGGACTTTCAGCAGGTGACGTGGAATTCTTCAAAGTTGCTCGTCCTTACATCTGCGAGATGATAGCAGAGGATGCCAACCACCGTCAAGTCGATCGAATTCCCGCGAAGATCACGCCTTACCTGAAGGATGTATTGCGTCAACCTAGTGCTAATGATGCTGTCGCTTCTAGCGTCCATCAGTTCTACGTTGACGAGGATCACCGCAAGTATGGTGTTCCGGAGAAGGAGGACGATGGCGAGACCGAGATTGTCAACGCAGACTTCTCGCTGGCCTATGGCGGTATGCTTCTTCTATCCCATACCAACCTCCGGCTGCTGAAGGGACACCGTTACGGCTTGTGTGGTCGCAACGGTGCTGGCAAGTCTACTCTGATGAAGAGTATCGCTGGTGGCAAGTTAGAAGGTTTCCCGCCTCAAGATGTCCTTCGTACTTGCTACGTCGAGCACAATCAGGGAGAAGACGCCGATATCAGTATCCTAGACTTCATGGTAAAAGATCCTACAATCGCATCCGAAGGCAAAGAGAGGATCTCCTCAGTCTTGGCTGAGTTCGGCTTCACAGCTGGCCCTGAGGGTAGGCAATTTCAGAAGGTTGGCTCGCTTTCAGGTGGTTGGAAGATGAAGTTGGCTCTTGCTCGCGCAATGTTACAGAAAGCCGATGTTCTATTACTCGACGAACCTACCAATCACTTGGATGTTGCCAACATCGCCTGGCTGGAAACCTACCTCAAAAGTCACACCGACATTACCAGTTTGATCGTTTCTCACGACTCTGGTTTCTTGGATAATGTAACAACTGACATTTACCACTACGAACCTGGAAAGAAACTAGGTCATTTCAAGGGCAACCTCTCAGACTTTGTTAATATTCGCCCTGAAGCAAAGGCTTACTACACTCTTTCCGCGTCCAACGTCCAGTTCAAGTTCCCACCTCCGGGTATTTTGACCGGTGTCAAATCCCAAACTCGAGCCATCATCCGAATGACTGGAGTTTCCTTCCAGTACCCCAAGGCGCCTAAGCCTTCGCTCAGTGATGTCTCCTGCCAGTTGTCTCTTTCTTCTCGTGTCGCCGTCATTGGACCAAACGGTGCCGGAAAGTCGACCTTGATCAAGTTGCTGACAGGCGAGGTAATCCCGACTAGCGGAAGAGTTGAGAAGCATCCCAACTTGCGAATTGGATACATCAAGCAGCACGCTCTTGAACACGTTGAGATGCACCTTGAGAAAACACCAAACCAGTATTTGCAGTGGCGATACGCTAATGGAGACGACCGAGAAGTTTTCCTAAAGCAAACTCGCATTCTTTCGGACAAGGACCGAGAGCAAATGGACAAGCTGATTGATCTTGGTGATGGGAAGGCTGGACGACAGCTCGAGGCTCTCGTTGGTCGTCAGAAGTACAAGAAGACACTACAATACGAAGTGTAAGTTAATTATTAACGTTCTATGTGGAAAATAGTACTAATACAGTGCAGGAAATGGAAAGCGTGGCTCCCGAAGTATAACTCGCAAGTCTCTCGAGAAACTCTTATCGAGTGGGGTTTCGAGAAGCTGGTCCAGGAATTCGATGACCATGAAGCTTCCCGTGAAGGTCTTGGTTACCGAGAGCTTCAACCTACGGTCATCTCCAAGCACTTCGAAGATCTCGGCCTCGACCCCGAGATTGCCAACCACAATGAGATTGGTAGCTTATCTGGAGGCCAGAAGGTCAAAGTTGTCATTGCCGGTGCGATGTGGAACAACCCACATTTGCTTGTCCTTGACGAACCTACTAACTTTTTGGACCGCGATTCGCTCGGCGGTCTTGCTGTCGCCATCCGAGACTTTAAGGGTGGCGTGGTTATGATTTCCCATAACGAAGAATTCGTCGGTGCTCTCTCCAACGAGCAATGGCACATCAACGACGGACGCATGATCATGAAGGGCAACGCCTCGGTTGCCCTGGATCGCTTCGAGGATAGCAGACCAGCCAGCGGTGCGACGAGCGCCCTCACGAGCGGCGTCAACAGCACAGCAGCGAGTAGTGCCGTGAGCAGTGCCGTCAACAGCGGCGCCGAAGACAACTCGCCCCTGAAGTTCAAGTCCAAGAAGAAGAGAAAGAAGACCAAGAAGGAGCTGAAGGAGCAGGAGGTCCGCAGAAGACTGCGCCACATCGAGTGGCTCAACAGTCCCAAGGGCACCCCGCATCCCCCTGACACCGACGACGAAGAGTAAGGGCTACTCAGGCTCCTTGCCGATGATACTTCACATGAGTTTGGCACGCGGTATTTTCCCGCCCAGTTCGTTTATCTTCACCCCAGTTTCGGGCTTGGTTCCCCGCAGATGATTTGGGGCCGCCCCATAGAATTGCACAATTGATGAGATGAGATGGAAATTGGCATTTATAATCGACCCACCACGCAGAAAAGAGGGTCTTTCACGCCGGCGTTTTAATATAGACGGGATGGAATGGCATATGATAAATAGACAAGAGGGACTTGGTATTCGCATGGCTTGGCCTTTTTGTTGGAAGCTAGTTGATGATGAATAGGCAGTCAATTTTACGAAGTGCATACGTTTTCTGGCTTTGGGTGTGGTGAATGTGTGGGCATCTACAGATGTGGTTGCGTGATGTATGTTGATGTTAGCTTCGCTCATATCGACGCGTGACTTTTGCTTTACGTGCGGTACATTCTCCTGGGTATTGAGAATGCCTTAATAGTGTTTGCCGTATAGTGATGTGAAATTTCTGCTGGGTCTCGGGTTACTTTTTCAATGCCCATCAATTGCTCCTTGTATAGATGGCAAATCGTTTGCTGGCTGTTTCAGAGTATGAACATTTATACCAAAAGCCCGAACCACACAACCTTATGGGATAGCAGTAACACGCGAGTATTCCAAACAGGAATATACGGCTTGGTATCCGTGCCTGTGTAGGTATTATTTGTGCGGTGTTGTCAGTATTGAGTAATTGAGTATTACCAGGTAGTATTTCACTTACGTACTTACATGTACTTACATGTACTTACATGTGTTGTTGTATTGTTTAACGTCTGAGCAAACGTAAATAATAATACCATAATGCCAAACCTTACCTTTAGGGGGACAGAATTCCTTAATTAAGCAATCACTACTTATCGATTAGCTTAGTCTTAAGCGCTTCTGGCTTTACAGATTTGAACTAGACGGTTGGTATAGTACCTAGTAGGTAATTATTGCCCTCGTTAAGGGCTCATACCTACTTATGGTAGACAGGAAAGACGAATCTGAACAATACCATGTTCCGTACATGTTGGCCATGATGTGGGCTTGGAGCAGAGAATAGGGGTATGTACCTTGGTACTTAGATACAATTGTATTTACCACAAAGCTCTTTGCTCTTTCCTTCTGAAATGCCTTCCTTCCAAGGTTCTTCGCACTTCCTAGTATCCAAGGTTTGGCCATTATGAGTCCATCTTCTAAAGCATCATTCATCCCGGGCCCATAGTTCAGTTGGCAGAACGTTCGCTTAGCATTCCACAAGAATCTGCGGAAGGTCCAGGGTTCGATTCCCTGTCGGTCCAAACTTTTTGTCGTTTTCTCTTTTTTTTTCGTTTCATTTTTGATGTCCCTTTCGTCTACGTAGACTCTATCTTCACTTACGCATTTTCCCACTTTTGATTTCCATGATTTATTCTGAAGAGTACTAACACAGCTTTATCGTCACTACTAAGGTAGATCTCAATCCCCCATTCATTTCCAAATTGCCTTCCCATCGTCAGGCAGCTGATCTGTCATCTCGCTCTCAGGCATTCCAGTGACCAAGTTTTTCATGTTTTCTCGTACACTTAGTCTTATATACGGTGTTCCCGTTCCCTTTGCGTACCCACCACCTTCACCTTGAATGTCGGAAGCACCTCCCTCGGCGTAGCGGTGGCTGAATAGGGGGGGCTGTACCGTGAGGCAAACTGGAGGAACCTCTCGATGCTCATGAAGAGCCTCACCATCGCTATTTGGCTCGGACTCGGCTGGAGATTGATCCTTAGTGGACTTCCTTTCGCACCATCTTTGCAGCATCAGGTCCCATTGAGCATCATAGCTGTTGTTGAATTCCAAGAGCAATTTTTGAGCTCCTTGGTTGCTAACGGCGTAGGCTAGGCTGCAGACATTCCCGCTCGACGCGTGCACAACACGGGTATGTGGTGGATATACTTCGCCAAGTTTGTCCTGTAGAGCAAACGGATGAGGCTTGAGGTGCTTTGGAGCCGGGACCGTCTCGTCCCCGGAAATTGCAACTTTCAGGGGCGATACCCGAGCCAAATCATTAGGGAAATCGGCACCACAGTGGCCCAGCCATAGAACATCCCAGTCGTCCCCGTACGCAACACGATCAAGTTTGTCATCGACGCCATTGGTAGAAGTTAGCTGGATTGTGTTCTTTTCAGAGTCTGCCCCCATCGTAGTCGTGCTGCGTCTTTTATGTAGCGAAGGCGGAGCGGATTCCAGCAACTCAGCATGTCGCTTGTGAAACCTCGACTCCCTCAACCAAGTTCTCGATGCCAACGAGAAAGTCTGGAGTTGCGACTTCAGGCGAATATCCCAGTCGATATCATCCTCGATAATAAGAGCACTCTCTAGGTTGTCTCGCACAACGGCTTGCAACGCATTCATATGGGACCTCCAAGATCCCTTCGCTCCAGGGGAGCCACTACCTGGTGCAATGCTATCTGCCACTTGGTCTCCTGGCACGCCGTCAATCCAAGTGAAGGTGAGGTTGCTAAAAGCCCCTGCCAGAGCCATCGCATCTCGACGATCTGACCGAGATGGCAGATTGATGACGTATATCTTTTGGAACTTTATGCGATGTCAGAACATCATGTCGTTGAATAAGGGGTAAGACAAGGAGGGGACTTTACACCTAACGTCCTGTTTAAGACATCTTCTGCACCGGACCAGCCTCGAAATCCACCAATCGTATCATGGGTCGCCAATAGACACCAGTAGATGTAGACTAGGGGAGCGAAGAGGCATATGGTCGTGAAAGCTCTGTAGTACGGCGACATCGCGCTTGAACATCTAGAAGAGGCTGGTTTTACGATACCATCGCGTATTTCAGCATCCAGTCGTTAGTCAAACGAATTGATGCTTGAGCAATGCAAAGTTTTCCGTTGAAGTTCTAGGATCTTCAATGTGGCCTCGAATGTTGCATCGCGGCTCATTCCCAGAGAGGAAGGTTCCCTGATCCGCGGGTAAAACGGTCGGGTAAAAGCTTGCCGCGATCAACAACAAGGATTGTAAAGAAGACCATTCTAGGATTAGGTAGATGGTATTCGTAAGCTAGCACGCAAACTATGTTTCATAAATTATATCGATAGGGATCCTACCTTTTTTGGTTCTCGGTGTGTCATGGTAGTGTATATACCCTTACCTACCAGATTGGTGCGGATATGCCCCTTATATTACCACCAAAGGAAACGAAACTCTATAACAAAAGTCTTAGATAATATACCGATTGAGCAATTTCTACTGATTTGCGTGTTTTATAAAGCTATCAAAATAAGCTGATGCTTCGTAGAAAGCGTGAGTCTTGGTATAAAAAAAAGAGGGTTATCCCCACTAACCTAGCGCATAGAACTTTTATGCTTCCACAACTACCCCTGAAGCCAATGTGATAGCTAATCACTATGATTATAACTATGTTCAATAATATAATTCATAATTCCTATACCTAAGAATCATTATACGCCTCTCCTTTCGTTCTTGTTGTATGCGCTGAAGTCAAGACTTGGAAAGGGGGCTAATCATGTTAACAAATTCCTGACCCTAGGCAAGAGAGATAACAGACCATAGGAGATAAAATAGATAGAACACCCCTACTGAGTTATACCAACGACATCATCGAAGCTGACTATCCATCTAGCGCCTGAACGACCTGAGCCCAGTCTTCAGCGATATACGCGCCAGGGACTTGCTCCCCATCGAACAAGCTCGCCATAATAACCCGATCAGACTGCTCACCCTGCCAGGGCTGGCGTCCATGCTGGGCGATGATATTATCATACACCAGAACATCGCCCTTCTGCCACTTGTGGAGCACCCGAATCTCATCCGTGATGCTCGCGAGCCGCGCGAGGTACTCCTCCGGGATCGGCGTGCCGTCTCCGAAGAGCTGCTGCGTGGGGTTCTTCCTAGCATTGATCTGCGCATACTTGTAGTATGCGGCTAGCCCGGTGAACAGCGTCGGAATATTTGTGCTTGGCTGCGTGCGGATCGCGGGAAGCCAGTGTGTGAGGACGACGCCGTCGTCGGTCCACTCCCACGTCGTGTATTTGCCCCTGCCGTATCGGGCAATCTGGGCTTCGATCTTGGCCCGCTTAGTCGCCTCGTCATCGCCGTCTTGGATCTCCTTTCCGAATGCCTGCTTCAGAGTAGAACCTCCGGCGTATTGACTATCAACCTTGTAGGTGACTTTGCTGAGAATTCCTTTTTCGGCGAGCTGCTCGATGAATTCGGGGATTTCCTGCCGAATTCGATGGAACAGCTCTAAGGATGAAGATATAGGTGTCTCTCCACCACTCTTGGCAACTTGGTGCCCGTAGAAAAAGATGTACTCAGGGGCATGAGGTACTTGTGGGGACTCGTTGTGGTTGTAGATCAAGACTTCTTTTGGTGATTCATTGGCTGGAGCCACATTTGGAGCAAGTAGTGGCCTGTCGACGACAATCCCGATGATTTCGTCTAACTTATGTCAATATTCATATATAGCCCATCCAATTCCGACACTCTCAATTTAACTCTAATATCAAGGGTTTAAAGATGGATGTTAGAAGGTGAAATATTAACGTACTTCGAACAAGTCAGTTCTTATGCTTGGAGATCTTGGTTCGGATTTAAGGAGAACTTCCTCGTACATACCGTGGCTTATAACCAAAGGCATGAGCAAATCTGCTAAATTCATTCGCGTCATGAATTGGTAAACCTCGAAACAGAAGTGTTCCATGAACAGCCAGTTTCTTGGTGAGAATGCGACCCTGTGATTGGAGATATTTCACTGTTTTAATAACAGTATCGAGACTAGGCGCATCATCGTCAAGAGTTGATGGACGTAGGGCGAGCGGGGTGACAGTTCCTTCTGGATGAGGTGGTCCAAGTATGCGTAGGTTACTTGATGGAAGATCAAATTGCTCGAAAGTGAGCAAAGGTGAGGTTATCCCTGCTGGCTCGAATGCCTGTGTCGCTCCCTTCTTCAGAGTTGTAGCCATGATATATATCTTAATCTTGGGCTTTAGAAAGCACCCAAATCGCACTAGAACCCTAGTAATATTGTCTCTCCACAACTACATGGTAGATTTCAGAGCCAAGGATGATTACCAAGCCACTGATAGCATCAAGCATATCGTGCCATATAATCCTCCTCAATTTGGCACTAAAATCACGTCATCGCTTGGGAGCGTGAAACCATCCACATTTAACGTATAACAAGGTAGCATCGAGGACTTATCAGTAACAACATTGAACAACCCCGCGTTTCTTGACTTCTATCAGATATTGATTGACACACGATAGAGTCGATAATACGCCATATACCCTGTCTTGAGAGTAGCACGTTAGACGAATAGAAACTCTCGTACTCCTATATAAGGAAACATCGTGTACAGAAATTTTGAGGTTCTTATATTTTTTTCTCAGTACCTATAACCGAGGGTATTATAGGAAGAGGCTTACTGTTAAACTAGTCCTAGGAATAATGTGAATTATGTGATAATACTAAGTATTGTCTTATAAGTCGTATTAAGTCGTATTTTTACCTATAATCAGACAGTTGTCTACAACAGAGCAACAACCTGAGTATTAGACTTAAAATTTAAATCGACCTGGTTTATACTTACCATCCGCCACAATGTCCGGCGACCCAGTCGTCTCAAAAGACGAGCTCGACGAAGCCGTCCCTAGCTCCATCACCGTCGCAAATGCAGACAATAACCCCCCAAACCCTACCCGCGTCGAATTCTACCGAGGCACACTATTCCAGATCCTCGTCGTCGGGATCTGCGCCTTCTCCGCCCCCGGGATATGGAGCGCCATGAACGGGCTCGGCGTAGGCGGTTCGCAGAGCCCGAACCTCGTCAACGCCGCCAACGCGCTGTTGTACGCGTTCATGACGGTGACGTGCTTCGTCTCCCCGTGGCTGACGAACGCGGTCGGGTTCCGGTGGACGTTGTCCCTGGGCACGCTCGGGTACCCGCTGTACGCGGCCGGGCTGTACGTCAACAACCGGTTCGGCACGACGTGGTTCGTGTACTTCGGCGCCGTCGCCTGCGGCATCAGCGCCGGCTTCTTCTGGGGCGTCGAGGGCGCCATTGCGACGGGCTATCCGGAGGCGCATAAGAGGGGCCGGTATATCGCGACCTGGTTCACGTTCCGCAACTTCGGGAATGTGATCGGAGGCGCCATCTCGCTGGGTCTGAACCACAGCACCAAGGAGCGGGGGCAGGTGGGCTATCAGACATATCTGGGATTCATCGCTATCCAGTGTCTCGGGTGTCTGTTCGCGCTGCTCCTCTCGAACCCCGAGAAGGTGCAG